TGGCGCCGCTCGCCCACGCTGGCGGCACAGAAACGATGGCAGCCACCCAGGTCAGTGAGCGACGACAGGTGCGGGGCGGGAACCGTGGCCCAAGCTGCAGCACAGAACCGAGCACGCGCAGAGCGGCGCAGACCGAATTCCCAGACCTTAGGGCGGGAGGGTCCCGACTCCCAGCGCGAATTCTATGCTGGGCGGGGCTTCGCGAGGGGCGGGGCAAGCACCTTGGGTGGCCCCGCCTAGGGCGTGGCCAGGTGCGGCGCTCAGGGCGACCGGCGCAAGGCCTGCGGGGATTACGTAATGGCGTAAGGGGCGGGGATGGAGGCGGGGCCGGACCGTTCTCGGGGATTACGTAAGGAAACGTGACCGAGGGCGGAGAATCCGCGATGGGGGCGGGGAGAGGGCGTGGCTCAAGTCGGAACTGGGCGGGGCTCAAGACGGAACTGGGCGGGGCTCCGAGCGAGAGCGGAAAAAGGAGCGTGGGTAGGCCGTACCTTGCGAGGTGCCAGCCGGACAACGTGCTTGCAAGCATGCTCCGCTGTACCCGAGCCTGGAGGCTCCCCCTTGAGGGGCTCGGCCCGCACAGTCCTAGCTTCGCGAGGGTGCCTGTCGCACCCAGCAGCAGCGGCGGCCGAGGGGAGGCCGAGCCGAGGTCAGTCAGGGGCACCGGGCGGGAGGCGCCCTGTCCTTTTCCTGCCGGGCCCCGACGGCCCCATATCCTCCCCTTGGGCCCGTCGCCTCCCAGGCCTCTCCCCCAAAGCCCTTTCCCCTACCCCTTTCCCCGCCTCCGCCGGTTCAGACCCTAACCCGGATCCTTCCCCTGCCAGGCCGCTTCCGCTTTCCTACAGCCTTCTGGACGGGGAGGCAGCCCTCCCGGCCGTCATTTTTCTGCACGGGCTCTTCGGCTGCAAAACTAACTTCAACTCCATCGCCAAGGCCTTCGCCCAGCAAACAGGACGTAGGGTGCGCTTCCGAGTGGGCGGGGCCTGGGAGGAGGCGGGGCTGGGGCGTCCCGCTTCTCGGGGTCCCGCTCCTCACGCTGAGTATGGACCCTGAACGGCAACCCCGTTTGTTCCCTCACGTTGCCATCTTCATTAATTCATGTTGTAGATCTCCATCGGCGCTGGCCAATGACTAGGCGCCTGCACTCTTTCCATGAAGGGGCCTGCTTGTTTCCTAGGGATGACCTGGAGCTCACCACCTCTTATGGCAGCCCGTTCTTCTGTGCTCCTACTGTTGGAAATTCCTGGAGTCTCGTTCCTGGCATTCTCCGGGATTAACCCCCAGCCTGGCCAGCCCTTCAGAGACGTGGTCACAACCCTGGGGCCTGCTCTTCTCTGGCAGAGTGGCCCCAGATTCTTCATCTGGGCCTTCTAGGTCTGGAAACTGGGCCCTCCCACCATCTGGGCCCTTCCCCTCTGCAGGGTGTATCCCCAGGCTCTCCACACCCTTGACCTGCTGTCCCTACAAGGTCTTTGGCTGTCTACCCTAGAATGGGGATACCAGCGCAGCTCTGTCTCACCCCACTCCCCAGGTGCTGACGGTGGATGCTCGTAACCACGGTAACAGCCCCCACAGCCCAGACATGAGCTACGAGATCATGAGCCAGGACCTGCAGGACCTCCTGCCCCAGCTGGGCCTGGTGCCCTGTGTCGTCGTTGGCCACAGCATGGGAGGGAGGACAGCCATGCTGCTGGCACTACAGAGGGTGAGCCGCCCCTGTCTGGGGCCTCCTCCCATTCAGTATATACCCTGAGTGCCCCGCAGGCAACCTGGGACTCAAATGATCCTTGGATGACCACATTCAGGCTCCAGGAGCCGTGCCTGAGACTCACTGTGTCTGCCTAAGACTGGTCCCAATTCTGTTCTCTCCCACAGCCAGAGCTGGTGGAACGTCTGATTGCTGTAGATATCAGTCCAGTGGAAGGCACAGGTTCCTCCCACTTTCCTGCCTATGTGGCAGCCATGAGGACCGTCAACATCCCAGATGGGCTGCCCCGCTCCCGTGCCCGGAAACTGGCAGATGAACAGCTCAGTTCTGTCGTCCAGGTGATACACCCAAGCCCCCCGGATGCTATTGTAGACCGGGACCTGTCAAGGGAAGATTGGTACCCCCAGTCCGCACAAGGAACCCCCCCAACTGCTGCACTTCCACAGAACCTGGCCGTACGGCAGCACCTGCTCACCAACCTGGTAGAGGTAGACGGGCGTCTCGTGTGGAGGTTGAACTTGGATGCCCTGGCCCAGCACCTAGACAAGCTCTTGACTTTCCCACAGAGGCAGGAGTCCTACCTCGGACCAACACTCTTTCTCCTTGGTGGAAACTCCCAATTCGTGCAGTAAGCCAGCTTGGGTAGTGGGAGGGGCATGCTTTACTCGCCCAGGCCCTAGCCTGGGGACCCTACCAGGGAAGGCCTTGGGTGTGGAAGGTGGGTGGCTGAGAGGCCAGAAATACCACTGGGCATGTGGACTTATGCAGCTCTCTCCGTTTCTCCCCACTCTGCTTACACTTGTCTCTTTCACTCCTCCTTATCCCACTTTCACCCATTTTCGATGGCCATCACTGCAATGCACAGTCCCAGTCACCACCCTGAGATTATGCGGCTCTTCCCTCGGGCCCAGATACAGACGGTGCCGAACGCTGGCCACTGGATCCACGCTGAACGCCCACAGGACTTCATAGATGCTATCCGAGGCTTCCTGGTCTAAGAGTTGCTGGCAAGAAGGGGGCTGGGCGCAGTGGCTCATGCCTGTAATTCCAGCACTTTGGGAGGCTGAGGTGGGAGGATCACTTGACACCAGGAGTTCGAGAGTAGCCTGGCCAACATGGTGAAACCCCATCTCTACTAAAAGTACAAAAATTAGCCTGATGTGGTGGTGCACGCCTGTAATCCCAGCTACT